TCAGAGTGGCTTGCCCACTCCCAGAGCTAGAGGTTGGTGTCAGTACTTTCTGAACCAGAAGGACTGAGACTAGGTGAGGGATGCTTCCCCATGGGAAATTGGGACCCTATTTCCAGGTGAAGGAGTATGGATGCGAGCAAAGGCAATGACAGAAAGCTGTCGTGGCAGCTAACTCCAGTAGGGGAAGTGACTGCTCGTGACACCCAGAAACCACACGTTACACTCTTCCATCCTCGTGAAGTGTGCACGGGGTGGGGATACCCAGCCAGTACACACACACTCCTGGCCTGACTTGAGAAATGCTAGGGTGTTTCTGAACAACGTTCTCTCTTCAGAAGGAGCTTTCGTGTAAGGCAAACCCCACCGTGAGGAACGCCATCAGTTTCTGTCCTGGTCTTTATTGGTTTCAAAGTTGCACAGAGTCAATCACCGTTATTTGCGGATTCCGTATTTGTGAATTCTCCTACTGGCCAAAATTCATTTGTAACCCTAAAGTCAATATGCATGGCACTTTTATGGTCACCTGTGGACATGCGAAGGGCAGTAGAAAGTTTGAGTTAGCCTATGCACACATCCCCGGCTCAAGGTGAACAAGGCGATTCACCGCCGTCTTGTTTCATCCCTCTTATCATAAAGTGTCCTTTTCGTGTTCTATTTAGTGCCACAGTTTTGCAATTTGAGCTTTTCGTTGGGGACTTTGTTATTTAAAACGGCCTCCTAGCGTAGGGCTGAAGGGTTTCTCAGTGCAGGAATACCGTGATGTGCCTTACGTGGAAAACACATGTTTTAGAGATGCTTTGTTCAGCGTGAGTTTTAGCGCTGACAGCCACAAATTCAATGCTAATGAATAAACAATATATATCAAGTAAGAAACAGAAAAAGACATAAAATGAGGTTATGTATTGATTGGTTAATGAAATGTTGTGACCAGAAGCTCACAGGAGCCTAACCCTGTATTTTCCTTAGGAGCAAAGGTTCAATTTTTGCTAATTCAGTGTTTGTGACAACTTTATGGAATAAAACTACCATTAATAATGAGAATCAACTGTAATTAGTTGGGGATGGTTGAACCACCAGGAAGGGGTTTGAGTGTCCTCAGAGTGAGCCATGGAGGCAGCTCACAGATGCATCCTCAGCCCGCTTTGACCTCACCACAGGAGGAAGCAGTTGGCTGGGGAAGATCGACCCCACCTTGAGACTCTCGTTTTGTGTTGCAGCCTCTTTTCTTGTGTCTGGAGGGTATGACAAGACTGTGGCTATTTGGGATGTAGCCGAAGGCTACCGGAAGCTCTCCTTGAAGGTACCAATGCCAGCATGAGAGAGAAGATCTGAGCTTCGTTCCTTAGTCATTCCATGCTGGACGCTAGATGGTGGGAGTACAGCAGTGGGTAAGGTAGACCTAGATGTCCCCCGTGGAGCTGACACCTCTGTAAGGAAGGACAGACAAGAAACCAACAAACAGATCATCAACAGTTATAAATGAAATGGAGAAACCACAACAGGGTGATGTGACAGAAACAGACTCTGGGGGCTAATCCACGGTGGGTGGGCAGGGGTGGCCTGCTGGAGAAGGTGGCCTTTGAGCTGAGAAAGGGATGGCAAGGAAGGACTGGGTGAGTGAGGATATTGCGGGAGGATATTGCAGGCAGTTGGAACAGCAAAATGTAGAAACCCAGAGATGGGGAAGTGTTTAAGACAGCAGACATTACTGTGCAGAAGGCTGAACGCCATAATAAGGCATGAACAGAAAGCTGTGGGGCTCCAAACTGGGGAGTGTCAATTGAGTGCTTGTGGCTGCAAGTTAGAGAAGACTCTATTCAAGGTAGCTCTACAGTAAGGGGATGGATTAGCCAACACGGCCAGAATCCAGAGGTTGGGCCATCCTAGGATTAGCTCCTTCAGTGCCTCTGTTCCATGTGCCCTCCACCCCAAGATTTCTGCATACTCTCTGGTCCTACAATCTCATGGCCACCTTTGGCTGGGAATGCTTGCATCCAGGAGTCTTGGTGTCTCTGTTGCCTGTGATCCAAAGGTAGCCTGTGTCCCATTGGTCATTACAACATACAGGCTCCCAGGGCTGGTCTGTCTCAACCCTCTTCTCCTAGGGTTTGGAGAGGCAAAGGGAGTTTACATTATAGCAAATCAACAGCTTAAAACTGAAAGTTCGACCTCTCTGTATTTAAAAGTCTCTTTGTCCCCCTATTAGTTTGTTCTGTTCAGTTTTTCCTCGTCTCTCCTCTCTTTTCTCCCACCCTCAAATTCCTGTCCTTTTGCAATGCACAGCAGTTTAACCTTCTCTCTAAGTCTTGATTTTCCTACCACACCACAGCTGCCTCGCCATCCACCTCTTTCCATAAGGGAAAGACCAAAGAATGCTAAAGATGCTGACAAAGAACCCTGACGTAATTAAGGGTCTAAACCAGCAGTGGTATCCTCTCTGAGCTGCTTTGTAGCTGAGGGAAACAATCCCCCATTTGCTTAAGGGCCAGTTCCTTGAAGCCAAAAGCCCCTTCACCAGTTGGACCTCTAAGAGGTATTTCCTAGAACAGAGAAAGCAAGAAAACCAGCAAGAGGTACTCTAGGACCAGCTGGGAACACAATAGTTTTTCCCCAGCCTGCGAAACACCAGAGTACTAGTTTTGAAAACACATACAGTGCCATGACATACACATGTATCACAAGCCTTTACACTTTGTATTCTACCTTAAATGTCCTAGTGAAACCAGAGAAACACAATTAGTTACACTTAAATGTAAACAATGTTGGGTCCTTTTGTTTTAGTTTTTGTTCTTACAAGTCTTTTCCTCTAAGTCCTCGTTAAAGTTTTATTTTTACCCCAGGGCCATAATGACTGGGTGATGGATGTGGACATTAGCAGCGACAAGAAATGGATCCTGTCTGCTTCAAAGGTAAAAGTGGCCAACCTCCCAGTGACTTAAAATCTGTCGCATTTGCGAGAATTGGTGATAATAGAAGTGCTACTGTCAAGTAAAACTCCAGGGCAGGGTTAGCCTGAGGGCCATAGCTGGCCAGGCCATCCCCATCGAAGAAGCTGCCTGGGAGTGTGGAAAGCAGGTGCCTGTGTCTGCTCGCGTGGGGAGTTGCCAGGTATCTCCGTGTCTGCACCACTGACATTTGTTTTGTTGGAGCAAGGGCCTAGTCACTGGTGAGTGAGTGATGAAGCCAACAAGGGGCCTTAAAGGGGAAGGCATCAGCTTGTCAACGACAGCAGAGGCCACTCCGAGGTCCCAGGTAGGTCTTTCCTCTCTATGTTACTACATCCTGGGATTCCTGTTCCAATGGCACATAACTGCTTAGCCCAGGATATCCTGAGGGCTGTCCTCCAGGTGTGAAGAAGTGGGGTCTCACTTTTCCCTCCACCTTTATCAGAATTATGTAATTCTGTAGGCTGGGGGTTTGTAGGTCTCTGAGACCAGGGGCCAGACTCCGCCTACCGTGACCAACCTGTTAGGGAGCCAACCTGGGAGCCAAGCACCACACCTGACAAAATACTCATAATAACATAATGCATAATGAAAATTCTATGCCTATGTGTTATTATTTTAATATAAAACATGAAAAATGATTGTCAATTATATCTTAATAAAGCTAGAAAAAGTAAAAGTATAAAACAAAATATGAAAAATGAGTTTATTTGAAATTATGTCTTATTCTGTATTTTTTACTTTTCTGTTACATAAATACTATTATTTAAACAAAAACAACAATAGGATTAGTTAACAGCAGCAATTAGTAGTAATTAATAGTAGAACTAAATGAATATGTTTAAGAAAAATATAAAAATATTTTATATTGTTTCTGTCTTCTGAAACAGCAATTTATTTACATTTTTAAAAAGTCTTTACTGGATATTTAAATTTTACAGGCTATATTATTGTATATTCTTAAGGTACATAAATATAAGACTTTTAAAAAAGATAATATAAATACAATAGAATCAATTGACTAGATTTTACTTTACTTATGTATTTTTTCCAGCTTTATTGAGATGTAATAGACATATAATATTGTGTAAATTTAATATCTATAACATATTGATTTGATACACTTATACATCACCAAATGATTACCACTATAGTGTTAACTAACACCTTCTTCATGTTACATAATTACCATTTTTCGTGTGTGTGGTGAGAACATACTCTGAGCAACTTTCGAGTATATGATACAGTATTATTAACTATAATCACCATTCCTTACATTAGACACCCAACATTATCACCTTACAACTAGAATTTTCTATCTTTGACCAACATCTCCCTCCCAGCCCTTGGTAACTACCATGCTCCTCTCTGTTTCTATGAATTTGGCTTTTTTAGATTTCACTATAAGTGATCTTGTATGGTATTTGTCTTTCTCGGTCTGACTTATCTCTCTTAGCATGATACTTTACTCTGGGTCCATGCGTGCTACTTTACTCTAGGTCCATGCGTGCTGTCACAAATGGCAGAATTTCCTTCTTTCTCATGGTTGTATAACATTCCA